GGGGATGACTACTCTATGCTGATAGCGCATATTTGCAAAAAAGGAACTACTTTTTCTACTTACGAACGCCCCTACTTACGAAATTTTCGAGATACGACCAGCTCCGGCCCCAAAAATTTACCTCAATATGCGAACTCCGCCTCGAGATACAAACCGGATCCACGGCCATTTGCCCTGCTGCCACACGGTCGCGGCTTCCTGTGGGCAAGATGGCAGTAGCAAGGAGACGTTCAGTGAGGCTTGTGGTGTGTTTTGTGGCATTTGGAAGGTTTTTGTGGCATTTGGAAGGTTTTTGAGGTTTAAAAATAAAATGCATATGTTTCAGAACTGTTTAGCCGTATTTACATTCATTTGGAAGGTTTTTGTGGCATTTGGAAGGTTTTTGAGGTTTAAAAATAAAATGCATATGTTTCAGAACTGTTTAGCCGTATTTACATTCATTTGGAAGGTTTTTGTGGCATTTGGAAGGTTTTTGAGGTTTAAAAATAAAATGCATATGTTTCAGAACTGTTTAGCCGTATTTACATTGACCAACTCAAGTTGCAACCAGAGTCACGGAACAGATTAAGTTCGTAACTAGAGGTACCACTGTATCTTGTTTCCATATTTAGTACTGGTCCAGCTCTAAAAAGTATTAGGTGGGACAGTATTATTACATTCTGCAGTATTTTTATGGAGAGCATTTGGAGCACATAAAAATGACTAACATATATCTTAGCTATGTCCCATAGTTTCAGAACAAGCCTAGAATGTGGCTAGTGATATCTGTTATGGAAACACTACTCTTTCATTGTGGAACCATGTTGAATTCCGAATATCCATCAAGATGAAACATGATCCATGCCTATCACCCAGACTTGTAAATCTGGTGCCCTCAAAATAAATTAGAATTACAATTCCCAGAATCCCCAACATTTAGCATACTGGCTGGGAATTCTAGCTAGTATAGTACCAACACAATCTGGAGGTTGTCTTGTTGGCAAAAGTTGGCATAGTTTAATTTTCTTATTTTCTTGTTGTCTGTTCTGGATTGCTATTGTAATTAGCCTTGCAGTGTACCTTGACAACAAATGTTTCACTCTTTCAATTTGGCATTTCTGAATGACTTGACTTAACCCACAAGCTGCTTTACTATAATTAGCTCTGAGTGAGTTATGAGCTGGAAAAACAATCTTAATATACTTGGGAATCCTGCAAATGAAGTTATTGCATTTCTCCACTTCTTCAGCTTCTTAAGAAATACATATTCTGCAAAGATAGATTTATGCATTGCCTGCTTTTTTAAAATCATGATCTTGATTCTGTTCAAGAGTCCCAGTTTTTCTCTCACATACATATTAACATATATGTTTGCCCACACATACACATATACACACACTTTTCTTTAGTAGTCATAATATTTTGAGAATTAGAAGAATATTTTAAGGAAGTGTTTTGGAACTTGCACAACCATAGCACTTCTGTGGTATTCATTAAAGCAACCTGAATTTTTTTAGGTGACTCTGAAAAAGATGCAGCTGCTTTAATGAATGCAAGAAAGGTGTTGTGCTTCTCCATGGTCCAAAGTACTTATTTGAAATGTATTTATTTTTATGTATTTATTAGATTTATCTCCCACCTTTGCTCCAGAAACTCAAGGTGATGTGCCTTGTACTCTTCCCCCACATCTACTTGCCAAAAACAAGTCTGTGAAGTAAATTGGGCTAAGAGAAAATGACTGGCCCAAAGTCACCTAGTAAGCTTCCACAGATCACTGGAGTAGAAGGCTGGACTACAAGTCTTCCCAGTCCTAATCTGTAACTACAGTACCACGCTAACTTTCATTTTGGAAGGATGCACACCCCTGAGCAAAAAGCAGGTATTTCAATTTTGATATTTCTTTGAGAAACAAAAGAAAAAGATAAACAGAAGAACATGCCTATGGGTTTCATGCCATGTGTCTTTTACAGAGGACAATATTCTATTTGAAGAGTTGTCTAATCAAAGTTCAGGTGAAAGAGAAAGAATTCTTAAAGGAGAAACAGCTTGAAGTTGCCCCCAACATTTGATGTTTGGACAGCAGACAAAGCAGGATTGCAGTCCCCACTGTGATAAAAAAAGAAACATAGATAAATGTATAGATCTCTCTATAAACAGTATTGGAGCTAGAGGTTTAGATATTAAGAGATCTTTAAATGGATAATCATTTATTTGAATAAATTCAGAGAGATAAAATCTCTAAAATAACCAAAGTTGCAATAGGTTCAGCCAAGTTAAACACAGTTATATCTACCTGAGCCTCCATTCACAATCCCAGTTCCTAGCTAGGAGAGAATCATGACTCATAGTGCTTAAGATATAAATTAGCCCTAATTTAACTATATTTAACTTGACCGCTTAACCACAAACCTGTCTCCAGCATGGTTGCCTTGATATGTGATATAGCTGGAATGAGAGAACATTTTGTTCATCTAAGATAAACTTACAAGTTCAGTTTGGAAGCAGCCACCAGCTTTTCATGTTGTATCGGTCTAGTTGCCTGGGTCACGTATGGAAGTTATAATCCAGTATTCTCAGGAAGCCCTGTATTGGGAAAGTGCATGCTATAATAATTGTGCTTTGGCATAGTTGACAGAATTAATGCAATTAAATTAGAGGCATCATTTCGCCCATTACTGTATCTACACACACAAAGAGAAACATCCATTTGTTGCCTTTCAGGTGGACATAGGCAAGGACAGATGTAGGTTCTCAGAGATAATAGAAAATTTGAGCCCAGGATTCCATCTGTCTCTTTTTTCTTCAGATGCATACGTGAGACTAGGCTGAAGCTGCCATAAGTAAAAGATGAAGCAGGCACGTAAGCAGAGAGGACAAAAAGCCAGGAATCTTATCTAAAAGATGCTTTTGAGGAGGTAGATAAGAAGGAAACAAGTCATTAAGGAAACAAAGAAAAAAATGTCACCTGAACCAGACAAAGGAAATTGGGCCTGAGCACATGGAAACCCCCCCCCCCCCCAAACCCAATCAATAGCTACCAGACTTGTAAATTAACAAGGCAGGAGTAGCTGCCAGTCTTGTGAATCAACAAGGCAAGGACTTTGGGGGATAAAGGGGTCCTTGAGTTGTCCTTGAGTCATCTTTGGATCCAGACTTGGCTGTTTCCGATCCTTGCAGCCTAGTTGAGAAGAACGTGGGTAAGTGTGGATGTGTGTTTGTGTGTGTGTGAGAAAGAGCAAATGTAGATTGTAACCAGTAAAGTTTTGCTGTTACTTTAAATTCACTGGGTCTCTGTGTATTCCAAAGAACCTGTTATGCCTCAGCGTTCAGTTGAAAGTGATGTGTGCATGTCCCTAATTACTTCCCTCCTGTTGCCCAGGGCTGGGTGTCTTGTCTGCTCTCTAGAAAACCCAGGTAGAAAGCAACAGGGGCTTACAAGATCTGCATGCCTCAACAGGGTGTGAGTGAGTGACCATAAGCCAGTGTTGTCCAAACCTGGCCACTTTAAGATGAGTGGACTTCAACTCCCAGAATTCTGGCTAGCCAGCCAGAATT